CAGCAGATATCACAAGAATTTTATTGTCGCGTTATTTATTGTTTGGTCCTAGGTCATATCATCAGTATGCGTGGTATTAATATATCATAAATGTTGCAATGAAATTACATTTATTAAACCGACTGCTCAGTTACTCGTCTCAGTGTGCCTTTGCGTGAATAAAATAGCATCGTGTTCCCAACTTAACCTTGAAATCAGTGGTCGCTATAATGTGAGTGGATATCTCCTTAAAACTTTGGCATAAACGAGGTCTGGGAATATTTTTTCTTAGATGATTTCCTGCATAAGAATTATTTAATATTAAGAAAAAAAACGTGTTAAAAAGAAAGCGGTACTAAATTTATCAAGACACATTTTCTCAAGTTGTGGGGCAAATTGACATTATTATGGGCTCTAAAATGCAACTTGAATACAATGAAAAGCCTGGCAAAAAAAGGGAAATGAAGCCAACGTTGACGCACTATCAACACTAATAAAAAAGGTTCTCAAAAAACTTTTCACAAACACACACACCAACACACACACACACACACATGCACACACACACACACACACTCACACACACCACAAACAACACACACACGACCACAAACACTTACACTTACACACAAAATCAATGTGATCCAAAATCGTGGGGGGACATTTGATATGAAATGTCCCCCTCTGAAAATTCGTGGGGGCGACAATGTCCCCTGTCCCCCAGTGGATTTGCGCCCGGTATAATGCAAATACGCTTATTAAATAACAGATTTGTCAATTACCGCTCCCTGATATGATATATATATATATAATAATATATATATAGTATATGATGAGGAATCATAATAATTTTTCAGAGGGTAACATGCGCTGATAAATTCATGTCGAGTCGGAGAGTTATGTAGGTGAATATTCGAGTCATTTGCGTGTATGTTAAGTCATTTCGAGTCATTCCAGTATTTAGGAGGACCGGAATCCAGCTCGCGCGCTTATTTTGTGGCGGCCTCTCTTGGCCTAAGTATCAAACAAGGGCGTTTACCGCTGGCTGGGAGACACTTCTTGTTCATTGTAGTTTTTTATTCATTTTAACGTGATTATCGGAACATATCGTTAAAACGCAAAAATGATGGCATTCAAGGCTGCAGCGGAGTTTCGTCCTGAATCGGTAATTTTTCGTCAACTAACGCTGTTTTGCTAGCCACTTGCCATCATTACTGCTGTGTGTTGAAAGCTACTGTGCCACACTCACTCACATAGCAGTTCAGTAAATGTAATCACAGCGAGCTGTGGTTCCGAAGTTATTACCTGTAACTACCTAAATTAGACCTACAGTGACTTAATCCTATTAGTATTAAATAAGACTAAGTTAGAACTCTCTGCCGCACATGCATCATGCATATATCTTAGGCACCCCGGATTAAGTTAGCACATTTGCGAAAATGATAGCCAGGTGTCCCAAACGTAGGAATAGTATACTACTAGTACTACTCACTACTAGTACAGTACGTACTATACTAGAAACATACTAGTACTAGTAGTAGTACTAGTAGGATTAATGCACAGGATGTTATTAGGCCCAATATGCATTTCATAGACAAACCTGGTGAATTCTCTGTCGGTGCAAAATGCACGACAAACTTTTCACTATTTACGGCCGTGTTACATAGAACAATCAAAAATACCTAAGCCGCGCTTATATTAACATCCTTTACCTACAATTACAAAACACGTTGTCATGCCAGTATTCTCCTTTTTATCAACGCTTTAATTATTTTATTAAAACATCACGACATAAAAAATCACCAAACTATCGCTACACCAAAACTGCCAATCTTGCATTGAAGCCGCCGCAGCGTAGGATCTGCGTGCACCGGCCGCCGTGCGTATAGCCATATTGAGTCGGCCACACGGCCGCCGTGCGTATAGCCATATTGAATCTTATCCACACGGCCGCCGCCGTACCCAGGGTACGTTCCGGCAGTACCCTGGGGGACATAGACCCTATGAGCCCTAGTTTGGGACCCTGGCTATCATTTTCACAAATGTGCTAAACTAATCCGGGGTGCTAAACTAAGATTATGCCATGATGCATGTGGGCCGAGAGTTCTAACTTAGTCTTATTAATAGGATTAAGTCATGTAGGTAATTAGGTAGTTAGGTAATTAATTAGGAACCACAGCTCAGCTGTGATTACTGAACTGGCTTGTGAGTGAGTGTGGCACAGTACTTTCAACACAACAGGCAGTAATGATGGCAGTGGTAGAAAAACAGGTTAGTTGACGAAAATTACCATCAGAGACGAAACTCGCTGCAGCCTTGATGCCATCATTTTGCGTTAACGATAGTCCAAATCACGTTAAAATGACTAAAAAACTACCAATAACAAGAAGTGTCCTCCAGCCAGCGGTAACTGCCACTTGTTTTGATACTTAGCCAAGAGAGGGCGCCACAAAAATAAGCGCGCAGAGCTGGGATTCCGGTCCTCCTAAATACTGGAATGATCGAAATGACTTAAAATATCACGAAATGACTAGAAATTTCACCTACATAACTCTCCGACTGACACGAAATTATCACGCATAGTTGCCTCTGAAAATGTATTATGATATCATACTATATATATATATATATACATATATACCTAATATCAGGAGTCTATCAATATTAGTTATTCTATATAAGATATAGTAAGATATTAGATATCTTCTATTCAATATCTATTCGATATCTATTTGATATATATAATATATATTTATATATATATATATATATAGAGAGAGAGATATATATAGTAAGATAGTAAGATAAGTAGATATAGTAAGATATTAGATATCTTCTATTCGATATCTATTCGATATATCGATATCTATTATATATATAGATATATTCGATATCTTTCGAATATATAATATCTATTCGATATTAGATATATTCTATATAGTAAGATATTAGATATTGATAGACTCGATCCTGATAATATATACTACTATAGGAGTGAGGAGGTTGACGAGTGGGAAAATGTGTTGAGAGGACAGAGGAAGGAGGCACATGATGAGGAAGAAGGGGAGGGGTAGAAAAAAGGAGGAAGCAGTAGTATAACAAGGTTTACTAAACCAATTTTCATACACCTCGGTAGGTTTCCCATGTTTTCCGGTCCCACGCCTCGGAAACGACCACGCAGCGTCGGCCGGTTTTCTCGGTCTGTGATTATGATCCTAAATGTATGCCACAAAATGTCGTGTTAATTATTTGTATACAATTATCATATATTGTAATTAATATTATCCTAAATGTATGCCGCGTAGTGTCATGTTTGCATACTGTTATCATGTAATTAAATTTATCCTAAATGTAACCCCTATTATCCTAAATGTATATGCCGCAGAACGTCACATGAAATATTTGCATACCAGTACGATATTTTTATAATTACCATCATCCTAAATGTATAATGCAGAATGTCATGTTATTAATTGCGTACCGATGTCATGTCTTGTATGTTCTATCATACTAAATGTATGCAATGGAATGTCATGTTGACTATTTGTATACCGACATCATGTCTTGTAATTGCTTTTATGATCCTAAATGTAGACCGCAGAATGTCATGTTAATTACTTGCATACCGATAACATATCTTAATTGTAATTACTTGTATCCTGTCGGTATCCTAACCAAATTTTACAGTCTGTACTGGGTATATATTTGTTATCCCACCCCGCAACATATCTTGCTTCAATATCTATACGATACGATCGAATACATCTTGCTGTACGCTAACCTTACCCAGTAACTGGCTTCTCCTGTGGATCCCGCTGAAAAGGATTTACTTTTGTCGAGTATCATATTACATCGTTACGCTGTTAATTAGCAGAATCGGAGTTAGAGTTGCGCTTATGGGTATGATTACGGTTATAGTTATGGTTATGGTAATGGTCGTCATATGGTTACATATTATCAGGAGTGAATAATATTAGATTTTTATTAGATTATATCTATTATTATTCACTCCTGATATTATCAGGAGTAAGATAATATCCTATATTATTTTACTCCTGGTATTATTATGGTTATCATGAGGTCATGGCTGTGGTTACGATTAGTATTAATGGTGTGGTTGAAATTACATGCAGGGGACATACACGGACATCAACAAGAGTACGTACGTCTTCCTCAGCGGGCATTTATTTACGTTTACCCTAGTAAATTTCAGCTTTGTCAATGGCTTATTGTTAGACAATCGCGAAAAGGGTAAGACTCATGTACGACCCCCCCCCCCAGGCTACTTCTCAAAAGCGATCGACAGTAAAGCCTACCTTGTAGCAGTACGGTCTATGCAGCCCATACTCACACGATACACACACGATTTCTTCCGCCTGTATAGTATAGTAATACATTGTTCTTCTCCTGCGTCGTGGTTTCTGGTCTCCCTCTGGTTGTTGCAGTGCTAACTGTGTCGTGCGCTTTGTATAGGAATAAGTTTTCGCGTTATCTGCTGTGTAATGTAAAGTTACTACGTATAAGCCTACACGTTATAAATGACCAGAAGCCGTAAAAATCAAAGATGTTATTTAACTTTTACAATCTTCGTTGACGTCCGACAGTCTTCTCTTTCTGCGTCTGCCGTCGCTGCATGGTGTTACGCCATTGTATGGAGACTGTCTTTCTATCAATCGACAACAAAGAACTGCAGTAAATAGTAAACATGCAAGCGCGTATTTTCCTTCGCATATACACGGTCTAAAAATTACTGTGAATTGTCGTGCTCACGTTATATTTGGCGCTGAATCCGTCATAAGTCAGGAAATATGTGTCTGGGCACAGTGCTCTGAAATAACAAAAAAATATGCAATGGGTATCAGTATAGGCCTACACCGAAAATGTAAGAACGAATATAAAGGTAACGCATAAAGCAGCACGACTTGAGAGCCTAACAAGTAATAAATAATTAGTACAAGTCTGCAGCGTAATGTGATGCGACTCAATTTACACATTATATCTGATCAGCGCAGTTACCGACAGTGTCTGAGTCACGGTGAATAGAAAGACGGAGATATAGATTGAGATTACAGTAACCGTGCTTGTGTTTGCGTGCGTGCGTGCGTGCGTGTGTGAGTGCGTGCGCATATGCAAGCACGGGTATAGCATGCGACTATGTCTGTGTTTTTGTTTGTTTGTGTATTTGTGTGTGTTGCCCTGCTGCCTATTTGGGTCCGGCCGTCTGTCTGTCAGTCCGTTTGTTCGCCCGTTCGCCCGTCCGCCCGTCCGTATGGGGCGCCAAGTGTCGCATGACTGATTTCGATACGAAATCATTGATTTCGTAACGAAATCAAGTCTACAAAGTGATTTCGTTACGAAATCAAGTCTACAAAGTAATTTCGTTACGAAATCAACTACTGCGAGTAATTTCGTTACGAAATCAACTACTGCGAGTCATTTCGTTACGAAATCAGCTACTGCGGGGCATTTCGTTACGAAATCATGCTACACTTGGCGCGCCGGCGCGCCAAATTTTGCATGACTTGATTTCGTTACAGAATCATTGATTTCGTAAACGAAATCAAGTCTACAAAGTGATCTTCGTACGAACGAATCATAACTACTGCGAGTGATTTCGTGATGAAATCAGCTACTGCGAGTCATTTCGTGACGCATCAGCTACTGCGAGTTATTTCGTCTGCGAAATCAAGTCTACAAAGTGATTTCGTTACACAATTCAAGCTCGACAAAAGTGATTTCGTTACGAAATCACTACTCGCAAGTGATTTCGTTACGAAATCAGCTACTGCGACGTGATTCGTTACGAAATCAGTCTCCTGCGAGCGAGTTCGTTACGAAACTCAAGCTACACTTGCTGCGCGCCGCGCGCCAAGTGTCGCATGATTTGATTTCGTTACAAAATCATTGATTCGTAACGAAATCAAGTCTACAAAGTGATTTCGTTACGAAATTAACTACTGCAGAGCGATTCGTTACGAAATAAGCTACTGCGGTGATTTCGTTACGCAAATCAATGATTTTGTAACGAAATCTATGGGCGCCCCAAGTGTAGACGCCCGGGGTACACGCACGTACACGCGGGTACACGCACGTGCACGCGGGTACACGCACGTACGCGCACGCCACGACCACCGGGTACACGGAGATACACGCCACGTACACGCACGTGCACGCACGTACACGCGGGACCGCACGTACACGCGGGTAACGCCTGCACGACAGCATACACGCACGTACACGCCAGGTACACGCACGTACACCGCAACTACCACACGGTCACACGCGCACGTACACAGCAGCGTACACGCGGCGTACACGCACGTACACGCACGTATACGCGGGTACACGCGGGTACACGCACGTACACGCAGATACACGCCAGAACCGCGGTACACGCACGTACACGCGGGTACACGCACGTACCCCATGCTACACTGCGCCTCATAGATTTCGTTACAAAATCATTGAATTCGTAACGAAATCAGTCATGCGACACTTGGCGGCGCCGAGCGCGCCAAGTGTAGCATGATTTCGTAACAAAATCACTCGCAGTAGCATGATTTCGTAACGAAATCACTCGCAGTAGCTGATTTCGTAACGAAATCACTCCGCAGTAGTTGATCTTCGTAACGAAATCACTTTGTAGACTTGATTTCGTTACGAAATCAATGATTTTGTAAGAAAAATCAAGTCATCGCGACACTTGGCGCGCCGACCGCGCCAAGTGTAGCATGATTTCGTAACGAAATCACTCACAGTAGCTAATTTCGTAACGAAATCACTCGCAGTAGCTGATTTCGTAACGAAATTACTCGCAGTAGTTGATTTCGTAGCGAAATCACTTTGTAGACTTGATTTCGTTTACAAAATCATTGATTTCGTTTACAAAATCATTGATTTCGTAACGAAATCAGTCATGCGACACTTGGCGCCCCATAAGCGCAAGTATACAGGGCTTCCGCTAAACAGCTAGCAGGGCAACGCGGTGCGAATATGGTTACTAAAATGGCTGCTGGGTATGTACTCTCTAAATTAATAGTATAATTGCAACAAAATACTAGTTATTTCAATTGATTAAGGCTGGATATAGAGCTGCACACATTATGTAGGACACACACATCGCCATCTAATATTTTTAGTGTCACGTCAACCGCAAAAAAACTACACTATCATATTAAATGTGGCATCGGGATATATATTTTATATCCAAGTATTTATATCCAGAATGTGCGCTCCATTTAAAAACCCACAATTTCAACAACATGTTGTTTTAATTGACGGATACTAGGCATGCGCGAACGCTGGTTTCTTCCTATACTATAAGAAAATGTAGGAAGACTATAGGCACATTATCATTATTAAATTGAGAGGTGAATTGGGGGAATGTGCCCTCTAAATTATTGATATAATTTCAGCAAAATAGCGTTTAATTTATTTGATAACGGCTGTATATACAGCTGCACGTGCCATGTAGGACACATTATACATATATTACAATCTATTAGATAATTTAAATTTTATTAGTGTCACGTGAATGGTTAGCTGGAACGTCAGCCACGAAAACTCGGCACTTTGTCATTATTAAAGAGAGCAATCAAGATTTATATATATATTATATATATTATATATATTAAGCTACTACTTAGACAACTATTTGCTTTCTAGTTTAAAAGCTTTTTATTTCATTTACATTTTAAAACATGTACAGGTTCCCGGCCGCTATATCGAACGGGGATATTTGGTACGACTATAGCTATAGGCACTTTAGAATTAAAGGGACTACGTCACGAATTTTCTATGGTATAAATTGCTAAAAACAATTTGCATTTTTTTACATTAAAAGTAAGAACTAACGTTACTAAATTATCCTCAAACTCTCACCTGATAAAAATGTTTTTACGTTGGTTAAATTTGGCAAAATCTAGACGATTTGGTAATTTCTGTGTCTAACACTATTTCCCCCAGTACTGTTCAGATACTGCGTCTCTCTGTTTTTCACCGGCAAATTAGGGCATATAAAGAAGGTATATAAGCATGAAAGAAACAGAAACACTAATTGTATTTTCATACATTTTATGTTGTACAAATAACACACAGACAATATACTACTTGATGGTGCTAGAAATTCGTGACGTAATCACTTTAAGAATGACTGGATGCATGTATGCACTCCCGAATATAATAAATATAATTGGCAATTGCAGCAAAATATTATATCCGATAAATCCGATAAGATTGATTTCAAGTCTTTTCGAGAGTTATATACTTAATTACGTGCATTTCGAGTTATTTGGTGACATTTTGAGTCATTTCGAGTGTTCAAGAGTTAATTAGTTATTCGAGAGTTAAGTATGTGCATCTCGAGTTATTTCGAGGCATTTGAATCATTTTTGTCATTTCGAGAGTTAACTATATAGGAGCATTTAGAGTCATTTCGGTGTTTAGGGGTACCCATCGGCTCATGTGATATTTTGTTTATCTTGGGGTTTCTGAGCCAGTGGTTTAGCTCGGTTCGCTGTTCTAGTTAGTTTAGTCTGTTTAGTTTATTTCAAACAAGTGTATACGTCGTCATTGTTATGATTTTACCAATGCCAGACGACGCATCTTTACTAGCGGTGGGCAAGTGGTCTGGTATGTTTAGGAATTTCAATCAACTTGCCTCTCAGGCAATGCAACGAGCAATCATATTTTAATGTTGGAATCAGTGACTCACGAGGGACTTGAGGCCGAAAAAAAAAGTGATATATATAAATAGGAATATTTATATATATGACACTTATTTTTCGCCTCAAGTCCCTGTGCAGTGACTCTGGACTGTAGCCGTGTAGCCTGTAGGCCCATATATAGCTGTATTATAGTGTAATAGACTGTAACGTGAATGTCATTTTTTTAGTTGGAATGGAAAAAACTATATCATGATGGCTGTTGCTCCTGCGACGGTACCGTCGCCGATTATTTTTCTCTTAAAGTCACGGTACTGACGGTACTGACGCCTGATTGGTTAGCTTGTTTTCTTGCGATATACATAGCACATCCAAAATTTTAATTTCAATATGTGGGCAGCGCCAAACGGGTAGAGCGCTTGCCCCAAGTATGATGGTCGCGGGATCGAATCCCATCCGTTTTCTAATTATTTTCCTGTTTCTGTATTTTTCTAATCTTTATCTGTTACAATTTTTTTCCATTAACGCAAATATTAACATTATTTATTTACAACATTTAATAACAACAATTAATTTTTACAACAATTAAAAATTAATTTTATTAATTTAATAGAGTTAGGGTTAGGGTTAGGTTAGGGTTAGGGTAGGGTTAGGGTTTTAGGGTTAGGTAGTTAGGGTTAGGGTTATCGTATATATCGTATAAAATCGGTATATATATAATCGTACAAAAGCAACGGTAGTTATTATTCGCCGATAGATGGCGCTGGCCATCACTTACCGTGAGTTCAGAGAGAAAAATTCGGGCGACGGTACCGGTCGCAGGGACACAGCCATATATATATGCACTACTCGCCTAAAATTACTACTAAATTATCTGTAACATGCTACCGGTCTCAAATCACTGGTGCATGTAAGATTAATCGACACGTAATCAGGGGGTAGAAATGAACTTTTGAACAGGCGAGTCCCAAGCCCTGCCGCCTCGAAAAAGAGAGTATCCGCAGCAAAATGAGAGAGTCCGCAGTCTGAAGTCTCAAAATTAAAGATATAACAATAACGTATGTGCTTATTTTGAGAGTTCATGGCGGTGCACGTCTGCTAATTTTCTTTGGACATTTGATGAAAAAATACGGTAATTCCGCAAGTCCGTGCTCTGGAATGAACTAGTTCGCAGCGATGCCAAACTATACTAGTAGTAGTGAGTAAGTAGTATAGTCCTAGTAGCAAATTTGCAGGGAGTTACACGGATTCTGCATATTCAAATCAGGGAGTATTTGACTCCGGACTCTCGTTAATTTCGCACCCTGCGTAATACATGAAACAAGTAACTGTAGGGCCTATTCTTACTGCCAAAAACAGTTCCCAATAATTTGTCGCATAATTTGTCATTACGTACCGTTAGCCAGGGGCGTGTACAGGATTTTGTAACGCAGGGGGGGGGGGGTCAAAGCCATACTCAAACTTGCCAAGCACGCGAAGGGGGGGGGGCTGGGGTCAAAATTTTGAAACTAGACCCCCTTAGATGCGTTTTCTGCGCGAACAGGGGGGAGGGGGTCCGGACCCCCTGGACCCCCCCTGTACACGCCCCTGGTTAGGCGTTACCTTGTTAATCTGAGTCTGAGTAATGCGTAATGTGGTGCAAGACCATTGCAGTCTAATGCACAGGGAGGAGGGTGGCCGTGGACGTTTATCTGCAGAACTGCATGGTGGTAAACCTCTGGAGTTCTTGTCTCAGATCACATTGTGTTGCCACATTCTCTGGCAGCTAGGCAGCTGATTCATATCTATCTATATATGTACAAATTACAGGTACTGATCACCACATGATGGTTAGAGAGCTGGCACTTGACAGAATTGGTCATTATACAGTGTCAAGGGAGGTAACCTTTTGCTCTCGCTACTGCGCTATGTAATTGAAACTGTTGGAAAACTACAGTAAATCTTTGCAGTGTGGCAGGATAATGGATGCATGCCTACTGGCTAACTCCAACCATATTTAAATTAGATGTGGCCATGTTTTTGGCTTGTTTTCATTTAAATAACTTACATTGAGTTGAATTTGATTTTGGGGGAGCAGACTAAAATCAGGACAATTATCATGCTGGCTTTAGATTTTTCTGTTGTATCACGGACTACAGCTTAGCTTGCAACGCTGCAAACGTTCGCTGCTTTTTCCCAACACTGATGGTCGCACAGCCCTGGAGTGAGAGCCCTGAGGTAAATGGGGAGAGCCCAACCCTAACCACAGGTTTCATTGATAAAACGTGAGTGCTATTTTGTTTTGGCACAAGTTCATAATGGACAAACCATTCATTGAGTCAAGTAGCCAAGTGAATAGGTTAACCTATTCATCAAACATAATTATGTTTGCGTGTAGACAGGGGCGTAAATCCGTACCGAGGAGTGGGGGGGATGATCGGCGATAGCCGGGGACGAAATTAACCTTGGCTGCCGCAGGCAGGCCCATGTGCCGTAATCATGGCAGTACTAGGGGGGTCTGGGGGCATGCCCCCCCAGAAAATGTTGAAATATTTAAGCCATTTTCCTGCAATCTGAGGCATACTATGGGCCATATTCTCATGTCTGATGACACTATCTCAACCCTAGACTCAACCCTACAAGTTAGGATTCAAAACACTTTTCATGACTTTTTAGAGAGCGTACACAGTTAGATTACTATAGTAATAATACCAGGAGTCTATCAATATTGATAGACTCCTGATAATACATGTATTAAAACACAGGTTAGAATTGCAATTTCTCACAATTTCACGTGTTTTTGTATGTTTGCAACCATACTTTTTGGCTATTCTTTTTTCTCTCTTTTTTTTTTAATCTTAGGGGGGATATTTGTACAGGCCATCCCCCCTCCTTCAAGAGCGGGGGGATGCATCCCCCCTCCTCCTGGGATTTACGCTTCTGCATGTAGATGTTCACTCGTGGTATAAACTTATGGTGTTTGTTGTGTATTGAAATAGTACATCAGCACTTACAAAAATCAGGTTAAAGTTTGTCATAGAATCCCCCCCCCCCAATAAGCATGATTTTAATCCTAGTGCTGCTGGACTTTACGTTGCTATCATGTGTTGTATCTCATTGATTTTATCAGACAAATGAGTTCGGAATAGCAAGATCCCTGGTTTAAGTATTGAGCATATATAAGGAAATTGGCTCAGTTCTTACTTGAAACTGCAGTACATAAGTCATTATCATAATCATCACCTTAAATCTAATCCTAACCCTTACACTAATCTGTAGTCCTAAGGGTGCTACCAAGGAATTTTAACCAAAGAATATACTATATGGCACATGGTCTAATTTAGAACCTTATGTAGTACTTGCTAGTATACATGTGTAGATGTATGAGATCTGACTGTTTCAGTTTATTTAACCAGTTGGTATTTTATGTATATTTAACAGCGGTGGCACTGGCCCTGATAGATGCTGCCTTTGATAAGAAAGAGGAGGTTAGGGTTGTTATTAGCCACTCTCTCCATGAGTTGGGGAAGAAGCAACCCAGGTTAATTCTGGGTGCAGCACATTCCTATTTGTGTAAGCACCCAAAGGTAAGATAAATAAAAACTATACAATGTGATTCCGCACTACTTGACAAACTGCATATAATGTATAAATGATTTTAAGGGCAAATGCAGTCCCCAATTTTCTTAGTGTGAGTGGATGCTAGACCATTTCATCAGTTGTCTAGTGAATTTATCGTTTTTATGCCATTGAAGTACTATTGTGGTAAAGGTAGTATGGGTGGAACTGTAATGTAAATGGCTGAATTTTCCACTCATTAATAGCTTGCACAAGGACATAGGATGGCCATACTCAATGTGATGGAGAGGATCTGCAGGGATTGTCTTGACATGATTAACAGACAACTTGCTGTGGAGCTTATCGAGCAAGCATCGTCAGAAATGACACGATCCAAAGTAAATATGACAACAACATCAGGAGCGTAGCTAACCCATTTTGCCTGGGGGGGGGGGCACGTGTGTGGTGTGTTCTGGGGAGATGACTGCCATTGCCCATAATGTATCTGCGAGGGCAACTGTCCCCCCTCACTAGCCATGGCCCTGCACATGTGTTTCAGTCACGGTATTCCTTTGAGCCATATATTTTTTTTAATGAATACCTTTAATAATGTTTTATACCAGTATTTCAGTGCTGTTTTATTGCTTCTAATCAGAACAATGCTTTGGAAATAAGTTTATAGCCTTTAAAATTGCATCACAGTGTAAAGCCTGCATACTAATTTAGGGAAAAATCATCATATTTTTAGCTATATCTGTGCATAGATTTGTTGTAATTCTGGTAATAGTCTATTATAAAAAGTCAATACGCATATATGAATGTGTACTGCACATCTGTACATGTGTGTTTTTTCACGTAGGATGTCCTGCCAGACTGGCAGACGGCAGCCAGTGGAGTGCTGGTTGCAATTGGATGCAAGTTTTCCAATGAGGTGATGGAGGAACTACTGAAGAAGTTTCAGCCTGGAGTTCTGCCTCACTTCTTCATCGTTCAGACTCTTGGCAACCTTGCAGCTGCTAACGGTATATATATATATATATCAAGAGCTCATAATAGAGAAGAGTATGACACCGTTTTAACAGCGTTTTGCATAGTTTTCAACTTGTAAATATTCTATCAATATCTGAATAAATAATATATATATTCAAACTACTTTGTTTTCGTCTATGATTCTCCCTTAATCATATGACACCACCAATTTACCTGAAAATCGTATGTGTTCGTCAAAAAAGTTCTTTGAATACGACACGGTTTCACACAGTTTCCCCAAATGATCGCATGTATTCGGTGCAAGTTGATAATGTGGCGGCAGCACCAGGTAGTAACTACGGGATGCTGGGGGCTGTTGGGGATATTAGGTAGGCACAGTAACACCACTTGTTTCGC